GACGAGAGGAACACTGGACCCGACCATGGAAACACTAAACCCGACCGACGGAAAACCTTACCCAACCACGGGAAAACTAGACCCGACCAGAGGAGAACTAAACCCGACCACGGAAAAAAAAAAACCGACCAAAGGAAAAACTAAGCCCGACCAGGGGACATTCAGACCCGACCAGGGAAACACTAAACCCGACCAGACAAAAACTAAACCCGACAAAATGAAAAACACGACCCGACCATTGGAAAACGGACCCCGACCAAGGAAAAACCAGGGCCGACCACAGAACAACTAGACCCGACCAAAGGAACAACTAAAAGAGACCAAGGGAAAACTAAACCCGACCAAGGAACAACTAAAGCCGACCAAAGGAAAACTGAACCCGACCAAGAAACGCACTAAACCCGACCAGGGGAAAACTGCACCCGACCATGGAAAAACCAAACCCGACCACAGAAAAACTAATCCCGACCAAAGGAAAAACAAAAACTGAACCCGACCAAGGAAAACTAAACCCGACTAGAGGAAAACTAGACCCGATCAAAGAACAACTAGACCCGACCATGGGAAAACTAGACCCGACCACAGGGGCGACTATGCCCGACCAGGAAACAAACTAAACCCGACCATTTCTTTTTTACAAACAAAAAAAAAAAACTAAACCCGACCAGGGGAGAACTAAACCCGACCATGGGGCAAACTAAACCCGACCAAAAAAAACTAGAGCCGACCCAGAGTAAGACTAGACCCGGCCAAAAGGAAAACGAAGCCCGACCATGGAAAAACTAAACCCGACCATCGGACAAAACTAGACCCGACTAAAAGAAAACAACTATACACGACCACCGGAAAACTAAACCCGATCAGAAAAAAACTAAGCCCGACCAAAGGAAACACTAGACCCGACCAAAGGAGCAACTAAACCAGACCAGGGAACAGCTAGTCCCGACCAGAGAAAAACTATACCCGACCAACGGAAAAACTAGGTCCGACAAGGGGGGAGCTAGACCCGACCAAAGGAAAACTTAGACCCGACCAAAGATCAATTAGACCAGACCACATGGAGAAAAAAAAAACTAAACCCGACCAATGGAACAACTAGACCCGACCACAGAAAAACTACACCTGACCCACATGAAAACTAAGCCCGACCATGGGAAAACTAAACCAGACCAAGGAAAAACTATACCCGACCAAGGGGCAACTGAACCCGACCAGAGGAAAACTAAACCCGAGCACGAAAACTAAACCCGACCAGGGAAAAACTAAACCCGACCAAGGAAAAACTAATACCCACCGAAAGAAAAACTACACCCGAACAAGGGAGAACTAGACCCGGCCAGGGAAAAACTAGACCCGACCAAGCAAAAAAAACTACAACCCGACCAAAGGAAAAACTAAACCCGACCAGAGCAAAACTAAGCCCAACCCAGGAAGAATTAGACCCGACTAAAAAGAACAATAGACCCGACCAGAGGACAAACTAATCCCGACCAGGGAAGGCAAAACTAAGCCCGACCATGGGAAAACTATACCCAACCAAAGAAAAGCTATGCCCGACCAGGGGAAAACCAGGCCCGACCAGGGGGCAACCAGACCCGACCAAGGAAACACTAAACCCGACCAAAGAAAAACTAAATCCGACCAAGGAAACTAAACCCGACAAAAAAAAAAAAACTAGACCCGACCAAAAGGGCAACTAAACACGACCAGGGGAAAACTAGACCCGACCAAAATGAAAAACTAGACCCGACCAAGGGAAAACTAAACCCGACCACGGGAAAAACTAGAGCCGACCAAAGGAAAAACTAAACCCGACCAAGGAAAAACTAGACCCGACAACAAGAAACAAAGTAGACCCGGCCAAAGAACAACTAAATCCGACAAGAAGAAAAACTATACCCGGCCAAGGGAAAACTAGACCCGACCAAGAAAAAACTAGACTGGGCCAGAGGAAACTAAACCCGACCGAAAGAAACAACTAAACCCGACCGGGGGGTACTAGACCCGACAAAAGAAAAACTAACCCCGACCGAAGAAAAACTAAACCCGACCAAATGACAATCTAAAGCCTACCAAGGGAAAACTAGACCCGACCCAAACAAAAACTAAACCCGACCAAAGGACAAACTAAGCCCGACCAAGGGAAAACTGCACCCGACCAAACGAAAAAAAAATAGACCCGACCAGAAAACAACTAGACCCGACCACGGGAAAACTAGACCCGACCAAGGAAAAACTACACGACCAAAAGAACATCTGGACCCGACCAATTGGAAAACTGCGCCCGACCAAAGGGAAACTAAACCCGACCAATGGAACAACTAGACCCGACCACGGGAAAACTAAACCCGGCCAGAAGAAAACTAGACCCGACCAAAGAACAACTACGCCCGACCAAAGGAACAACTAAACCCGACCAGGGGAAAAGTAAACCCGACCAAGGAAAAACTACACCCGACCAAAGAAAAAACTAAACATGACAAAGGACAAACTAGAGCGGATCAAAGGAAACACTTGACCCGACCGAAGGAAAAGTAGACCCGACCAGAGAGAAACTAAACCCGACCAAGGAACAACTAGACCCGACCAAAAGAGCAACTAAGCCCGACCAAGGGAAAATTTAAACCCGACCCGGGAAAAACTTGGCCCGACCTTCAAACAACTAAACCCGACCAAAGGAACAACTACACCCGACCACGGGAAAACAAGACCCGACCACGGAACAACTAGACCCGACCCCCCAGAAAAAGAAAGAAAGAAAGACAAAAAAGGAAGACAAACAAAAAAAAAACACTAGACCGACCAAGGGAAAACTATGCCCGACCAGCGAAATACTAGACCCGACCAAAAAGGAAAACTAGACCCGACCAGATAAAAACTAAACCAAACCAGAAGAAAAAACTAGACCCGACCAGGGGAAAAACTGAACCGGGCCAAAGAAAAAACTAAACCCGACCAAAGGGGCAACTCGACCCGACCAGGGAAAACCTAAACCCGACCAAGAAGAACTAGACGCGACCAGAAAAGCAGTAGACCCGGCCAAAGGAACAACTAGACCCGACCATGGAAAAAGCTTGCCCCCGAAAACTAGACCCGACCAGGGAAACTAATGCCGACCGAAAAAAACTAAACCCGACCAGGGAAAAGCGACGCCGGACCAGGGAACAACTAGACCCGACCAAAGAAAAACAACACCTGACCAAAGGAAAAATCAAACCCGACCGAAAGGAAAACGACGCCCGACCAAGGTACAAACTCGACCCGACCAATGAAAAACTAAACCCGACCAAGGAAAAACTAGACCCGACACAAACAAAACTAAACCTGACAAAAAGAAAAAAACAAAAAAAAAAAACGACCGAAAAGAAAACGACGCCCGACCAAGGAAAAAAAACTCGACCCGACCAATGAAAAACTAAACCCGACCAATGAAAAACTAAACCCGACCAAGAGAAAAACTATACCCGACCGAAACAAAAACTAAACCCGACCAAAGGGAAACTAGACCCGACCCGGGGAAAACTTGACCCGACCATAGAAGAACTAAGCCCGACCAAAGGAAGAACTACACCCGACCACGGGAAAACTAAACCCGACCCAGGAACAACTAGACCCGGCCACAAGAAAAAAAACTATACCCGACCAAAGGAAAACTGCGCCCGACCAAAAAAGTACTAGACCCGACCAAGGAAAACCTAAACCCGACCAAAGGAAAAACTAAACCCGACCAAAGAAAAAACTAAACCCGACCATTTTTTTTTTTTTTTTTTTTTTTTTTTTTAAAAAAAAAAAAAAAAAAAAAGAAAAGAAAAAAAAAACTAGACCCGACCATAGGGAAAACTAGACCCGACCAAAGGAAAACTAGACCCAACCAAAGAAAAACTACACGCAACTATGGAAACGCTAGACCCGACCAAAGGAACGACTAGACCGGACCAGGGAGAAAGTTTTTCCCCGAAAACTAGACCCGACCAGGGAAACTAAACCCGACCAGGGAAAACCAGACCCGACCTGGGGAAGGTTACACCCGACCAAAGAGGAAACAACAAAAAAGAAGAAGAAATAACGAGGGGGAAACTAGACCCGACCAAGGGGAAAGCTACGACCCGACCAAAGAAAAACTAAGCCCGACCAAAGGAACAACTAGACCCGACCACGGGGAAACCAGACCCGACCAAGGAAAAACTAGAACTGACCAGAGAAAACCTAGACCCGACCAAAGGAAAAAAAACTAAACCAGACCAGGGGGGAACTAGGCCCGACCATGAGAAAACTGAGCACGACCATAGGAAAACTGAACAGGATACGTGGGATATCATGGCAACCAATGCCATGAGAACGTGACAGAACAGAACCACAAATAGCATGATTGCGCCGATGGCGATGACGACGGCGACGTCGCGACCGCCGCGACCTGCGGCGATGGCAGCGGGTGCGACATCTCTATGTCCGACCCGAGCGCTGGCGCAGAATTCGCGCCTCAGAAGAGCCGACGCCGCCGACAGCCGTGGGGCCTACATCACTGTCGCGCGCCGCCGCAGAACTCACCCCTCAGAACCGATGCCGCTGGGCCCCACTTGGAAACGAATGCTCGAGCGACCCCTCGCGCGGCAACTGGCGCGCCGCAGGCAGCGTCGTGGCGCGCCATAGGCAGCGTGTCAAATGCCCACCGACTCGTCGTTCGAGCTCGCGCCATCCTCCTCCTCCTCCTCATCCCCGCCGTCCCCGGCCACTGGCATCAATAGACGTGTTGCCTCCATCGTGGTTCCGCTGGAATACTTGCTGGCTTTCTCGACGAACTCGGCGTCGCCGCCCAATTGCTCAGCGCGCCCCTCGTCGCGGCCCGCCCTGTGCATCGCGCGCCTGTCCACGATGGAGTCGAGCCAGCCCCAGCGCGCATCGTTGGCAACGACGCCTTCGCACTCCATTGCGCCAGAGGCAGCAGCGGCCAAAGCGCCAGAATCTAGAGTGAAGTCCACGACGTGGGTCACTTCGTGGTGCTACACGAGAGTCTGCCACAAGCTGAGCGGCTCCACCTCGCTGTGCGAGAACGGGTGGCCCTTCGAGCCGATGTCCCCCTGCAGGCGCGGAGGCCCCCCGTCAGCGCTAGCGCAAGATGCAGCTCCCAAGATGCTCGTCTTCGTCTCGTGGTCCATGAGAGGGAGCTCGGAGAAACGCCGCATTGGGATACCGCTGTATGACGCGTCTGCGGTCGAGGACTCGCCGCGCGCGTTGAACCCCGCACGGTGCGCCACTTTCCGCGGCGGGCCCTTGAGTGGCGTCGAGAAAATGGCCGTCTCCCTGTTGTTCGTGTAGCTCGACGCCCTGGCTGCGGACCGCGGGTCCTCCTTCTTCGTCGGTTGCTCGTGCGCGAACCAGCGCCCGACGTGCGCGCGGGTGCCTCCTGACTCCCACTTCGCCTCAAAGGACTCAATGGCCCTGCGGTTCGCGCGGCTCCTGCCGTCGAGGAAGATGGGGATATCATCGCTCTGCCTCTTCTGCAAGAAGAACCCGGTGACGCGCTTGAACTTCGCCTCGTCGCGCGCCATCTGCTCGCTCATCCTCGCCTTGCCGCCTTGCTTGGCGACGTTGGGCGGGAACAGCTCCGCTGAGAGGATGAACGCGCGAACGTCGTTCTTCTTCCCCCCGAAGCGGTGCCCGAGGCTGAGCGCATCCCACAAGCTCTGCATCTGCGCCACTGCGTACTCCGCGCCAGAGGCAGCGCCGACAGACGGCAAACTTACGAACTTCACAGCTTTCCTGCGGAGCTGCTTGGGCTGCCCCTGGAGCTTCTGGAGCTCTTCCTTTTGCTCGTCCCCGAGCTCGGACATCCCCGGCAAGCCGAGATTTGCATCCAGCTCGGGGTCGGCGGGGGTCGGCCCGCCCGCGCGCGCGGCCGCGAAGTCGCGGTGCTTGGCGCCGACGCACTGGCTGGTCTCGGCGAGGCACGCGTGCCAGACGAACCCAGTGGTGCTGTTCTGCAACTCCTGCTGGGCAAGCCCGGCAATTTCGTCGTCGAAAGCGCTCGGTCACAGAGGCCACGCGACGTCGATCATCGCCTTCGTCTTGACATCCACGGCGTTCCGATGCTCAGCCACGCGGAGCGCAAACAATGTCTCCATCCCGTCGGCGCCGCCGCCTGAGTCGGGCGCGCGGTGCGAAGCCACGGGCCCATCCGCGCCAGAGGCAGCGAACTTCTGGGGGATGTGGAGAAGCGTCTTAAATGCCGCCATGTCGTTCCCCACTCCCTTGTTCATGAGAAACGCCCCGGGGGGGATGTACTCGACGAGCTCCTTTTTCTTGAAGAGAGCGCGGGGCATCGCTGGCGTCTTCCCGTCGCGCCCGATGACCCGGCTCGCGGGCAGTTCCTCGCCCTTCGGGGCGTCGCCCGCCCAGCGGGCCGCGCGGATGCTGTTCACGACGACAACGAACAATTCCCTGGCCTTGGCGTCAGAGACAGCCCTCGTGGAGCAGGCGAAGCCGATCCCCATGAGAAGCGCAGATTCGCGAAGCTCTGGGAAATGCGCTTCGGCCAGCGCGAAAGCCGAACTGCAGGCGCCGTCGAGGACGAAAGGGCGCAGACCTCTCAGCGCCGCGGCGGTTGCAGCGGTGCGCGCTTTTCCTTTGAACTGGAGGCCGCAGGCCTTCAGCGCAGCCCCCAGTTTCGACGCTGGTTCCTGTCTGGCGAAACAGTTCTCCACGTTGGTCAAGCGGCGCCAGAGGCAGCGCGCGCAGAGAACATCTTCTCTGAAATGTCAGAGCGGCCAAGTGGGTCGCGCCGCCATCGGGCAGCAAGCGCATCCTGATGGGCACGGACAACGCGGCGTTGAACAGATGCCGCGCGCGGTCTTCGATGGATTGCTGGAGCGCCTCGCCCATGGCAGCGCGCCGCGTGATGGCCGCCGCGCGCTCCGCGAGCGTGGTCAGAGCCTCTGTCGAGCAAGCTCCAGGCTTGTTAGGCTCAAGCCGCTGGGCGACCTTGGCGTCGACCGCCAGAGCGGGGATGGGCACGTCGAAGGAGAGGCGCCGCGAGGGCGCGTGCTTGGAGGAGAGGGGGTGCGCCTCGTCTGACCACGCGCCCATGGCGCCCTCGAGCTGGCGTACAGTGACGTCGTCGATATCCGAGCAAGTCGGGTCCAACGTGCGCGCCGCCCCCGCTGCCTCGCACTCCTTGGTGCGGGAGAAGCTCGCAACCAGGTTGTCGTAGTCCATGACCTCGCGAAGCGAACTGAGGTTTGCGCCAGCGGCAGCATCAGTGATGGCCAACGGCGGAAGCAAAGAACACTTGGCGGGCACCGCGAAGGACACCTCGCGCTTGCGCTGCCCCAGGAAGCTGAGCAAACTATGGTCGACGTAGTGCTTCGCTTGGCGCGCCCACTCCTTGACGTGGCCCTGATGCATCGACGCGCGTTCCGTCTCGAGGAGCTGCGCGATGCGCAGGGCCGGCGGCGCGCCAGAGGCAGCGGCGGGCGGCGAGCCAGAGGCAGCGGCTGGTGAGGCCGCCGCGGCCGTCGCCTTCTTCGCAGGCGACGGGGCCCCCGCGTCGCCCGCCCTCTTGCCCATGGCGGTTGCTGGTGGTTGGGGGGGAGCGCGAAAAGCAAAAACGAGCTACTCGCATCCGAGGAGCCGAAACCGCTGTGGATGATGATGATGATGACGGTGATGGTGATGATGATGATGATGATGATGATGATGATGATGATGATGATGATGATAATGATTGTGATGACGATGGTGGCGATGGTGATCATGATGGTGGTGATGGCGATGATGACAACAGCTGGTTGCGTGATGACCGTGATGATGAAGGTGGTGATGCTGGCGACGGCGAGGATGATGATGTTAGCGACGCTGCAGTTCCTTAGTCTGATGCCCCCCCGTGGTGGCCCAGCCAGCTGGACGGGAGGGGCGGGGAGGTGTCAGAGCGTCCAAAACGGCCTCGGCGAGGAAGCCAAAATCATTGATTTTACGGGGGTGTTGGCCCCATGTTGGCCTCCTGGGGGGCAACCCTAATTGAAACTCCGCTCTTCTTTGTTAGATCTCCTCCAAGATGGCACAAAAGAAGCGCCCAGGAGGCTCCAAGAGGTCCCAAGATGGCCCCAAATGGCCCCAAAAGGCCCCCAAGAGGCCCCCAAGAAGACCCCCAGCGGCCCCAAGAGGCCCCCCCCCCCGAGGCACCCATCACCCCGAAGAGCCCCCCATGATCGCCAAGAGACCACCAAAACGTCCCAAGAGGCCACCAATAATCACCCAAGAGATACCCCAAGAGGCTCCGAGAGGCATCCAAGAGACCTATGGCCCTTGTGCTTGCCCTCCTCCTCCTCCTGTTCCTCCTTCCTGCTCCTACTCCTTCTCTTCCTCCTCCTCCTCCTCCGCCTCCTCCCCATCCTATTCATCCTCCTTCTTCCCACTCCCTCATCCATCCATCCATCCACCTCCTCCTTCTCCTCCTCACTCCTTTGCACGGTTCGGCCGTCCTCCTCTTTGCTGCCGCACTTCCCTGATCACCTCAACTCGCCTGGACATCGTTTCTGGATGGGCTGGTGGGGATACGCGAAGCGTCTAGAATTCCTACTACGGGACGCATGCTCAAAAGTGTTTACTCAGATGACCGGACAAACAATTTTTTAACTACGGGACTCTTACAACCTCAGTGCGGGATTATCACCCAAGAATCACTACCAGGAGAACCCTCCTACACAATCCTTGTTATGGGAATCTTACTCACGTGTTCTAACTCAGAGAACATAATGGAAACAACCTTACTACGGAGCTCTTGCTCAAGAGTTGATGCGTTCAAGAATCCGACTCAATAATCCTTACTGAACAAATCGTTAGAACTAATCCTTTACAACGGGCGTGTTCGCAATAGTCCTTACTCAGAGGACCCTATTACATAATCTTTTCTGCGGGAGGGAGCCGTACTCCGCAATCTTTCACCCCGAAAACCTGAATGCAGATTCCTGGCTACGTCAGAATGAGAGGGCCGAGCGGTCATTCACTGTCCCTGCCTCCTCCTCCTCCTCCTCCTCTTCCTCCTCCTCCTCCTCCTCCTCCTCCTCCTCCTCTTCCTCGTCCTCATCGTCATCGTCATCCTCCTCCCACACCTCGTCCTCCTCCTCCTCTCCTTCCTCGTCCTCCCTCTCCACCCCTCGTCCTTTTCATCATCGTCCTCCCATTGTCGTCCTCCCCCTCATCGGCCTCCATCATCGTCCTCCCATTGTCGCCCATCATCATCATCATCATCCTCTCCCTCCTCCCCCTCCTCGTCCTCCTCCTCCCCCTCCTCCCCCTACTCGACCTCCTGCTCCTCCTCCTTCTATTGTTCCACAGTCTCCTTACATCCTTTCTTCTTCCGCGTTCTCCTCGGCCCCTGTTTACTCCTCATGCCCCCCCCTTCTTTTCCCAAGAGAACTGCAACGCAATCTCCTGTTCCACGTTATGCTCCCCGCCTTCTCTGATCAAGGCAAATCGCCAGTGCAAAGTTGCTGGACGGGCTGGTGAGGATGCGCGGGGCTTGAAGAAGTCCTTGCGGGCTCAGACGGCATGCAAAAATCCGCCGCCGCGCTTGTGCGGCTTTGGTTTGTTCAGTGAACGTGGTTTAGGTCGCGGGTGGGTCGCGGGCTCTCCACCTCCACCTGGAAGGAATGCAAAAGCAGCCCGCCGCAGGTGCCAAAACAATTGGTTTGTACACTGAACGTGGGTTGGGTCGCGGGTGGGCGGCGGGTTCTCCACCGGGAACGAATGCAAAAATGCCCGCCGCAGGCGCCGAAAATTTTGGTTTGTACCCTGAACGTGGTCGCGGGTGGGCCGCGGGCCGTCCACCTGAAACGAATGCAGAAGATGCCCGCCGCAGGCGCAGAAAAATGTGGCTTGTACCCTGGTCACGGGGTGGGTCGCGGGCTCCCCACCTGGAAGGAATGCAAAAAAAAACCCGCCGCAGGCGCCGAAAATGGTGGTTTGTACCTTGAACGTGGTTTGGGTCGAAGGTGGGTCGCGGGTGGGTCGCGGGGTGGGTCGCGGGTGGGTCGCGGGTGGGTCGCGGGTGGGTCGCGGGGTGGGCCGCGGATTCTCATTGTTGTTGTTGTTGTTGAACATTATTAATTCTAAAGAATAATTATTGTTGGGCCCCCTGGTGCGCGCCCCCCCCGCCGCGCCTAGGCCGCAGCCACGTTTTCATCATTTTCGTGAGGAAGCCTCAGGTAATTCGAGGTGATCAAGATCCGGTTGTTTTGTTGTAATCCGTTTTCCCTTGCAAAAAACACTATAAAATGACATTTCTTGTTCTAATATAATCAAATTTCAAGAATCCCTTGCAAAAAATAAGGTAAAGTGGACATTCGCGCGCGCAAGACGAAATCCTTCCAAAAGCTTAGTGTTCGGAGCGATTTTAACATAAAAACATCAAAAAACCAATGGTTTTTCAACAAAAAAATGTCAAAATCTCATCCCGCGCGCTCTTGCGGATTCGTAGGAAACCAACACTTTTTAAACATTTCTGTCAAACGGGCTTTTGCGAGCAACTTTTTCGAACTTCTGCGACAACGGTTGCGCACCTGCCAGGGCCATCATCCCTGTCAAATAATACCATGCGGGACACATTCGTCTCTCTGTATTATGTATTGTATGGCACAATTGCACCATGCTGGGCACATGCGCGCCCCGAATAAGTGACCAAGTTCTGTGGGTGTGTACCCCGCGCCAGTGTAGTAGCCACGGTCGTCCGCACGCCACGAAGTGAAGTGTCCCAACGTCATAGGGCGGGAAGCTGGGTTTGGGTGGTCGCGAAGAGTCGTTTGGATATTTGGTAGAGCTTGTAATGCCCCCCCACGAAGTGGGGGTATTGCCTGGTGTCGTATGAAAACCCTGGCACTGGGGAGAACACCACGCGTTCGGGTAAAATGATTGTTGTTGTTGTTGTTGTTGTTGAACATTATTAATTCTAAAGAATAATTATTGTTGGGCCCCCTGGTGCACGGCCCCCCTGCGCCGCCTAGGCCGCAGCTACATTTTCATCATTTTCGTGAGGAAGCCTCAGGTAAACGATGTGATCAAGATCCGGTTGTTTTGTTGTAATCCGTTTTCCCTTGCAAAAAACACTATAAAATGACATTTCTTGTTCTAATATAATCAAATTTCAAGAATCCCTTGCAAAAAATAAGGTAAAGTGGACATTCGCGCGCGCAAGACGAAATCCTTCCAAAAGCTTAGTGTTCGGAGCGATTTTAACATAAAAACATCAAAAAACCAATGGTTTTTCAACAAAAAATGTCAAAATCTCATCCCGCGCGCTCTTGCGGATTCGTAGGAAACCCAACACTTTTTAAACATTTCTGTCAAACGGGCTTTTGCGAGCAACTTTTTCGAACTTCTGCGACAACGGTTGCGCACCTGCCAGGGCCATCATCCCTGTCAAATACTACCATGCGGGACACATTCGTTTTTTGCGCGCGCACGCCGAAATCTCGCACATTTGTGGAAATCGCCCAGGAATTCCACAAATGTGACCAACTATCTTGCGAGTACGTATCATCTCATGTGTGTCGTGCACACTATCAAATGTAACAGAGTTGTGTATTCCCATCATCCCAGGAACTTGACCCAAAAATGTGACCAACTCCGCTCTCTCTGTCTCTCTCTCTGTCTGCTCTCTGTCTCTCTCTCTGTCTCTCTGTATTATGTATTGTATGGCACAATTGCACCATGCTGGGCACATGCGCGCCCCGAATAAGTGACCAAGTTCTGTGGGTGTGTACCCCACGCCAGTGTAGTAGCCACGGTCGTCCGCACGCCACGAAGTGAAGTGTCCCAACGTCATAGGGCGGGAAGCTGGGTTTGGGTGGTCGCGAAGAGTCGTTTGGATATTTGGTAGAGCTTGTAATGCCCCCCCACGAAGTGGGGGTATTGCCTGGTGTCGTATGAAAACCCTGGCACTGGGGAGAACACCACGCGTTCGGGTAAAATGATTTGTTGTTTGTTGTTGTTGTTGTTGTTGGTGTTGTTGTTGTTGTTGTTGAACATTATTAATTCTAAAGAATAATTATTGTTGGGGCCCCTGGTGCACGGCCCCCCTGCGCCGCCTAGGCCGCAACTACATTTTCATCATTTTCGTGAGGAAGCCTCAGGTAATACGAGGTGATCAAGATCCGGTTGTTTTGTTGTAATCCGTTTTCCCTTGCAAAAAAAACACTATAAAATGACATTTCTTGTTCTAATATAATCAAATTTCAAGAATCCCTTGCAAAAAATAAGGTAAAGTGGACATTCGCGCGCGCAAGACGAAATCCTTCCAAAAGCTTAGTGTTCGGAGCGATTTTAACATAAAAACATCAAAAAACCAATGGTTTTTCAACAAAAAAATGTCAAAATCTCATCCCGCGCGCTCTTGCGGATTCGTAGGAAACCCAACACTTTTTAAACATTTCTGTCAAACGGGCTTTTGCGAGCAACTTTTTCGAACTTCTGCGACAACGGTTGCGCACCTGCCAGGGCCATCATCCCTGTCAAATAATACCATGCGGGACACATTCGTTTTTTCTTCGCGCGCGCACGCCGAAATCTCC